TGGGGGGAGAAGGCACCGCTGTACGACTCTGCTGCTCTCCTCTTCTTCATGGCATGGGACTGATTCACCCCAAAAAATGTTTTCGGGCAATGGGCAAAGGAGTTTGTGTGGTTCTGGGGGAGAACCAGGTCTTCAACTGCCAGCATCACCCTGAATACCCATTGCAGCATTTCCAGCCGCTCGATTCTTTACCAGTTCCAGGGAAACGCTCTCCCCTCAGCATTCCTCTAAAGTCATTTTTCCCCTATAGATCTTTGCTTCTAGAAGAAATGTAGAGAATTAGCAAAATAAAAGGAGCTACAGCCCACATATGGCCATCCCATGCCCGTGCTGTGCCACGGGGCTCCTCTCCCTGTGCCCAGCTCAGGAGGGCGGCGAGGGGCCGTGACCTTCGTCCTGCCGCTGGAATGAGAACTGCCCCCGAGGTGCCCAACGGCACAACCATCGCCCCGTTCCCTTTCGGCACCGTCCCCCCACCCCGTGCCGCAGAAAGAGGCCGTTCCAAGCCCTTCCAGAACACGCAGGTTGCTCAGCCGTTTGGCCGGAGAATTGACCCGTTCTCTGGAGTGGGAGAGGGCGAAAACGACCAGTTTGGATTTTATTTCCAGGCAGATCTCCAGCGGTGAACACGCCGTGTGCCAGGCGTGCTCTGCAAAGACCGGTACAGCTCATGCTACGGAACCGGCTCAGCACTGGCGAGTGAGCGAGAAAAGCAGGGAATTTCTGTCAGGAAAGCATCCAGGCCTGAACCCGGCCCTCCTCCTGCGGGCATGAGTTAATTAGGGCTAATTGACAAGCAGACAACACAAAATGGAACCACTCTCGCTCATGCACAGGAGGATGAGTGGCTCGGGGGCGGACGGAACATTCGTGTTCAGGGCCTGGGAAACCGAAGAGCGACAGAAACACACGAAGAACAGGACACAAAAAACATCCAGGCCCCTCGTGGGGGGGGGATGCACCTCTGGGTGAAGAGCCCCCACCCTGATGAGGGACCCTGAACCTTTTGGGGAGCTCCTCGGGGCAGGGGGCTGGGCTCAGCTGCACAGTCACTGCCCGGCCCCGTGCTTTGGGCATGTTCCGGGCGAACCTTGCCCCGTCCTCGGGCAGAGCCCCGGCTCTCGTGCAGGGAGCACGGCGGAGGCGAACAGCTCGTTGCTCCCAAGTGCCAAGGTCCTGCCCTGGTAGCAGCTGGAGCTGGAGCTTAAAGCTGTGCCTCGTGCTCGGACTCGAAGGGCCTGAAGGAAGAATTGAGCAAAAGCCATTTCATCCTCGGGCTCAACACATCCCTGGCACAGCGGCGAGCAGCCGTGGGAAACCACTGCCGGTGAAAGCAAGATGCTGACGGCTGGGCAGGGGGTACCTGGCACAAGGCTTTGGAGAAAAGGAAGATGCTGAGATTAGCAGATGTCGTATCGAGCAGCTGTGATGAAAACGGCTCTTTTAGGATTAAATATCTGCTTATGGAGCGGTACTGGGGTATGAAGCCACAATATGGTAATTTGGGGCAATAAATTCAGCTGCGTGCTAAATAGAGCGTTTAAACTCACCTTCGCTGTCAAACAGCCCATTTACTCCAGGGATAATGATCTCCTCCTGGGCAATAAAGCAGGGAAGGCAGAAGCCAGTACTGCAAGGGGCCAGCATGAGTCTCTGCACTGCTGAGGAGAGGCTAGGAAAAAGAGCTCAACCTCGGTGCTCAGGAGATGCAACCTTCTCACCACCACCCAACCTCTGCTCTCCGTTCCCTTCGTTAGAAAACGAGAACAATGGCAGCACCTTTAGTGCACGCTTCTCAGGCACCTGTATGAGCACAAACCACAGTGTGCCAGTCCCCAGCACAGAGGATGAGCTTCATCCATAAATGTGCTGTTCTTCCAAGGAAAAAACAACATGTGGCGGGAGACTTCGGAGGAAAATAGAGATTTCGCCATTTCCCTCTGCCAGATAACTCCGGTTACCTAGGAACAGACACACTTCTCTAACGCGGCCAGTTCTTCTCACCAAGCACAGGATGAGCATTTATTGTCTTGTGATCAGGAGAAAAACACAAACAAGACCCAGAGCTCCACAAGTGACATGAAACATCGCACACATACACGCCACGTGATGCTGAACAAAACCAGGAGCCAGGTCCAGGTTAATGGTGTTAAGAAGTCTTGGAAATCTAATGTAAACATTTAAAAACATACAGAAGAGTCCAAAAAAAATAAGCCACGGTAGTTCAGGCAGCGTGTTGAGTCAACTTGCTGGAATTACTGTTTCTGGCATCGAAGAGGATGGAGGGGAGATGAGATGGCAGATCCCATCCAGCGAGGTTCTCTTTCAGGCAGTGACTGCTAATGGGGTGCAATTTTGGTGTCTGGCTCCAACCCTCCTGGTGGACAGGCTCCTAAGTACCCCCTCTCCGTGCATCAAGCGTTTTCGATGTGACTGAACATGGGTGCTTCAAAACAGCCCCCTGAATTATCCAAGGGGAAAAAAAAAAAGAAAAAAACAAAAAGAGAAGCAGGGCAGAGACCCCAGCAATGCTTCTCCTCTTGATTCCTTTGAAATCTCCAACCTGACACATTAAAAAAAAAAAAAAAAAAACACACAAATCGCTTTTGAAAAATTTTGGCAAGAGGCTGAAGATGGTGAGGAGCAGCGCCGGACGGAGCATCGTACACCGGTGCCCCATGTTCTGGCCAAGCTCGTGTTCGGCCACGTTAACCTCCCCTCACTCCCCCGCAGTGCCATCGTATTTCCAGGGAGTGAATCGACAGGCAGTTCTATCACTCTGGTGGCAAGCGACAAAGAATGCTTAAAGTCACACTCGACACGAGACAAAGGCACCTAAAAGCTTGACAACACAATCGGGTCGTGTTCTGTTAAGAAGGCTTCAAGCACTCGTACTTACAAGCACCTTGCACACTCGCAAGGAAAAAAACAACACCCTCGTGTTCGGTGCACGCTAAATATCCCAGATCCAGCCAAAGGCTGGTTCTGCAGCAGGGCGCCAGTGTTGCTTGTAAACGGAAACCAGTGAGGCTCTGCCCTCTGATTCAGGTTTGCTTTTGCTTTGGCCCTAGTAACAAAGGTGTCATGCAGACTCCACGTTGTCCTGCACTTAGTATTTACAGTGTGACACAGGAAAAGTTAATAGAGCAAATGTGAAGTTCTGCAGGGGCGATGGAGAAGGAGGAGTTCTCCTTTGTGAACTCTAATTTTATTAGATAAGGCACATGTAGAGACAGTTTTCAAAAGATCACTTGCAAATCAATTCCACCTAGCTAGGACAACCTCTCTGTCCCTTACCAGGGGCCAATTTTGTCTTCCAGTTACTCAGTGTGAACTTGGAGTGACTCCACTTACACCGTAACATCTCTGGCATCCCATCCACCAGCCTGCCAAGCCAGACTGGCTCTGGGTCTGACCCAGGGGTGCCCAACACCTCCCAAGTCTCCGCAGTGGAACACTCCATCCTTCACAGGATCATCGGCCGAAACTTTCAGAGCCAAAGACTTTGAACACTCACTCCCTATAAAAATGTTGGGAACTGACCTCCCAGTTTTGACAGGTCTGAAAAAATTCACAGCAGGCTGTTGAGGGAGAGGAAGAAACCGCAGCCTTTGCTGCTTGGATCACTGTAGGACACAGGGGAATTGGATGGCTCAGGCTACAGGAGTCCTGATGTGCATGCACAGAATGGAGAAGAACGATGAGATGGATGCTAGCTCTTAGGGAAAACAATCCCTCCCAACAGCTTTAGCCGACTCTTGGAGCAAGGCAAGAATCTCTCTCTCTCTGCTGGAAGGAAAATGCTTCTGGCTACACAGATGCAGCCCGCATCTGCACAGCTAACATCAGTTAGGAAGACTAACGAGAGCCCTCCTTGGTCCACCCGACCCCACTGCGTAACGTCTGGATTTCAACTACATTGGTAGAAGGCAGAATTAAAACTGTTCATTGTAATAGAATTGCTCCCAAACCAGGCTGGGACCCCAGCACTGCCATCAATAGTTATCTTGCATCCAGCTACTGGTTGGGATCTCAGAAAACAAAGGTTGTCCCAACAGGGCAAGGTGTCTGCTGCAGGGTATTTCTTGGGTCAGCACAAAACCTGGATGCCACATAAGTGGAAGTCAGATGGCGCAGAGATCTCACGCTGCCTACCTGTAGCAGGGTGAACATCACCCAGGTAGCCAGGTCCAAACCCCAGTGCCAGCCAGCTTTTCAGTAGTTCCCTGTGGTCTTTGACTGAGGCTTTTAGGGAGCAATCATTAACCAAACGAGATGAATCTGCTCCTCTGAAGCACACAGATCCGGCAAAAACTTTTGGCAGCAGGGAAAGCAAGACTTCTAGTCCTAGCCAGGCAAACGAGGACTTCTGTGGACTTTGCATCTAAACAACACTCACCCACAGCAAGCACCGTTATCTAAAGCATTCTTCACTAGAGAGCGCGAGCAAATGAGGTTGTAGATTTCACAAATACCTTCGATATCACTAGTACCAAATAATTCAGGTGTTGCATTTCCCTTCAAGTGAAAAATTCCAGATTATTCATCCCGGAGAGTAAACACCAGTTGCTACTAATGCTCTGATTGCGTTTCTTACAATTACAGAGGACTTGGCGCTGTGCACGTGATGAAAACTAGGCAGGGAGGCAGGAGAAGGAGCCATCGCGGTAGTGTTCGCCGTCTGGGGAAGTCTGGTCACGAGAGGATTCCCTCGAGAAGGACAGTGAAGGGTTGGGTCCTCAGTCTGCAACGAGGCAAATACTGGTAACTCAACACAAACACAAAACTTTCTGATAAGGCCGTGCAGAGCTCCGGAGGTGGCAAGGGCTGACAGCACGTATCTTCTGCAGTGATGAGGAGACAAAAGAACAAACCAAAAAAAAAAAAAGTCCCCGAGATGACTGGGGTGCTTGGAGGGGGAATGCAAATGATCTTTTCAAATAACAATAATAAAAAGACCAAAAAAGAAGAGAATCCAGGCAGTTTGCAGCTGTTGCTGCTTAAGGCCATTGGTTTCCCGGGGGATAGTTGGGCACTGTGGGATACTCTGGCAGGCTGTTCCCTGAAAAATTGTTGTACTGGGCCTCCCTGCTGGGGGGGTTCCTCCACGCGCCGCTGTTCCACTCGTCTTGAGCTTTCTGAAAGCTTCCACCAGCCCCTCGATAGATTTTATGAACCTAATGGACAAAGGAGAGGAAAATCAGCAACAGGTACCCATACCTCTTCCCGAGAAGGGCTAGAGTGACTTTTGTACTGCATCGTGTATCTGTTTCTCTCTGTAAAGAACTCGATTTCCGAGGGACAAAAGCCCTAAAATTGTAATAATACAGGGAACAGAGGTGCAAATAGATAATATCAACCCAAGACTTTAACCCATTTCAGCTGCATGCCTGGGATTCAGGTTGGGAATCCCACAGCAAGGCAGCCAACCCAGGCCAGTAGGCTGAAACCTCTGTAAAACCGACACTGCTGCTCCAAAAGGGCTTCTGTCTTCCCTCCTCCTCTGCCACCAGTCTCCCAAAGCTTTCCAGACCTCCTTCCTCCAAGTTCTTCTTTCTGCAGAGAACCGAGGACCACTTCCCATCCTGTCACCCAGTCCCCAGGCCGTCTCGAGATGCTTCATCTTTACAATCAGTGACCATCCCAACGAGCAACGAAGCTTGCTTCGAGTGACGTGAAGGAGCATCGCCACGTGAAACGGCGGCAACATCCAGCCCCAGCGGCCTTGTGTTATCTGGGTTTGTCCTCTGGATACTGAGACACACCTGACTACACTACAAAACCTTTAAAAGCAGTGATGCCTCACAGTGGCTGCCAAGCTGCCTGTTGGCATTATCGCGATCCAAAGTGCGGATACTCCACGTCGGAGAGACACCTGAAGCACCTACCCTTACGATGGAGATCAACATTGCGACCGCTGACATTGTAAACATAATGGCAGGAAACAGCATGAACACAGCAGCTGCAACACTCTCGCTAAAGAAAGTAATGGCTGCGAACCATCCACTGGAAGAAACAGAAAGAAAGGAACAATATCGTTACAGCTCTCTTTTTTAAGTGTCCTTATTATCAGAAAACCTGTTTACTCATACCCAGAAATTACAGGGCAGCTTTAAAGCTCTTGAAAACGAAAAGAACAATGGAGAAAACAGACTGAATTAAGTGCAGCTCAGGCAGGTACTTCCCCAAGATCTCAAATCTCGCCTGCCAGCATCCCTCGCTAATCAAGTCTCAGACCTTTAGGGGATAGCCAGCTGCACAGATTTGGGGAAGAAAAGATTTATTCCCAAGGTGCTTTTGGTTGTGCAGAGGGCGTGCGTCTAGAGACCAGACCTGGGAATGGGGAACATGAGTGTCCTATGATTTACACAGCATCTTTATTCCTTTGATGGCAATAACCAGGTAGGGCAACTGGAGAGCATCAGCAGTTAACAAAACAAAATGCTATATGCAGTGCAAAGACTTTCTATTATTTGTCATTTCAGCACAAGTCTCTAGAGACAGAAAGTTAAAATGCCAAACAATTATAACCAGGGACAGACACTAAAACGTTCCCATTTATTTTAGGACAACTCTCACAATACTTGCTCTACAGGCCAACAGTGAGTCATCTTGCACTGCTCACCATGTGCTGTGAATAATTTGAGGGCAATGCTACGGGAGGATCAGATGAATCTTGAAACTGGCTGGTTAAATGGTAAAAACAAATGGACATCGTAGGAAGGTGCTAAAAAGAACAAGCAGGTGAAGGTGTCTGACTTCTGCCAATACAGGAACTCTTGCAATAACCAGCAACAGAAACAGAACTGTGTACTCCAAGAGCAGATCTAATTAAGCCACAGAGGAAAACAGAAAGCTTTTTCCACTCCACCCTGTACAAACTCCCACCAGTTTCTCCACAGTTCACAGAAACAGCCCGTAGCCTGAAACTCTCGGCCACGGGAGCTGAGTGCTCGGCCCTAAGACTGTAGGAGCATCCTGCTTACCAAGCTCCCCATCCGGAGAAACCAATCGCCTGCAGGACCGCGAGAACAAACTGTGCGCCAAAGATGAAGAAAAAGGCCATAAAATTAAACGAGCTGTCCGACCTGTGAAGGAAGAGAGGAATTAGGGGGAGACCAGCACCTCGCATCGCTTCACGCTGATGCCTGACCCCATCACGTACAAACCCTCAAATGTGGCATCTCAGAAGAGATCCCTCTACTTTCAAGGCTGCTCCTCAGCAGTGAAAGCACGCACATCCATGAATCATCAGTGCCTAATCTCTTCCAATAAGCCTGGCTCCTGCAATTGCTCTACCAAAGTAATTGCATATCCGATGACACACGAGGAGAGGCAGAATCCTGCCGAACTGAGAGTGCCTCAATCATTTCTCTGACCAAACATGTGAAGACAGCGCAGCCTGACACCTGAGCAGCTCAGCCACTGGCAGGCAGGCACAAGGGAGCCTAAACACTGGCAGGCAGAGTTTGCCCAGACGCTAAAAGCAATCATTGAGCATGATAATTCCAGCTGGGAATGTCTCAGTGGCTGCTCATCATCACATTTGCACACCCACGGCTAATGATCCAGCACTGGAACATAACAGGAGGGTGGTACCCTGTTTGGGGAAATGCAGAAACATGCATCTTTGCAGGCTCCACATCTTCAGGACATATAGGTGGAGAGGGTCCTGAATATGTGAGGTCCTTTAATTTATGCAGATGTAACAGGCAGCACGAATATGATCCCAAACAAGAAGGCTGACCGGGTACGTTCATGGTCTCCCTGTCATGGGTGCCCTGGGGCACAGCACTGTCCTGCCCGCGTTCTGGCTCTCCCACAGAACTGCAGCAGAACATCTTCAGCCCATTAAAGCAGCTACGTCGATAAGCCAGCCTTTGACTGTAAGCCCAGGCACACCTAAAACTCTCCAAACTATCATTTTTAGTGGTACAAATCATTCCCATTCTCTCAGGAACTCAAAGTGCCCATGATTTACAGAACAGATTTACAAAAAACACTGCAGTTGCTTACGAGGCAGCTTGGTGCAAGGGGGAGTTTACAAAAGAGCTCCAGTCATTCCTAGCTCCTGCTCAAACCCTGGAAGTATTTTAATGTTTATTATTTTAATTATTATTATTTTATTGTGTATCAGTATTACAATTCCAGCCCCTAATGCCTAAAGAGGACATGAGGGAGGCAGGACCTCAGGCTCTGGAGGGGTCAATGCTGTGGACCCTGGCTAGTCTGAGACAAGTGGAAAAGCCTCCAGCCAGACCCAGAGCCACATGTGACGGTACAGCTATCTTTCAAATTTCAAAAAACGACCACAGAGATGCTGTGAAAGACATTTACCATTCCTCAGTATCCTCACGATCCCACCCTTCAGATACCACCTCAGAGGACAGCAATGTGAAAGAAACACTTTAAACACGGCCAGTTCACAGTAGTGCCTCTCATAATCCAATTAACAAGCATTAGCCTTGAAGCTGAGCCTTCAAACAGACTCTCACAACTACAGCCTGAAAGGGCTGGAGAAGTCTTCCTTTGAAAGGATCTGTGGGAATTAGCAAGGATACACAGAAAAGGTGATTTCTGATCCAGCTTTCCGGTGCAGATTTGCAACAGCTTTGCCCTAGCGCCAAAGCTCTGCAGCTAATTTAATTTTGGACGCGGATGTATGACGAAGGTTTTACGAAAGCATCCTCGCAGTACACGATGCCGACGGTGAAGGGCTGCCTCTTCCCAGGAGAAGCGTGGCCAGTGGGTCTGACCTGGCTTTCTTGAGTCAAGACTAGCTGCAATCCCACAAGAAACGCTGCTGCCCCACTGCAGCGTTTTTCAAACCTCTTCTACAATGGATGCCAAAGTCACTGATCTCTGGGCTTGCCACTCTGTCCCTCGGGCTTATTCTTTTTTTAACTGTAGAAGTCTTTAACCTCAGGGACCTTCCAGTATTCAGTTGCATAAACACATACAGACAACATTAAAGAAATAATTAGAAACGGTCCTTGTGAAGCCCAGAGGAGGTCAACAGGGAGGAGTAATTTTTCCCAGACTTCAGAATGGAAATTGCTCTTTGAACAGAGCTGTAGCCGGCACTCGGAGGCCCTCGGGCTTCGGAAGGAGGGATGGGGACAAAACCCCAGCCCCAGAGGGCAAGAGTTCAGAGCTGGTATCTTCCTGTCTTTTAAAACTTTCAGATGAATTCAATCCAGTAGCCTTCCATTTCCATCAGGAATAATCCTCTCCTGTACTGCCCCATGTAGTCACTGATGTTTTAAGCACCAGCAGTGCACTGGCTGCCCAGTGCTGTTAGTGCACAGAGCGTTAAGCCAGAAGAGCATTTCAACACCTAATTTAGCACGTGCTAAACAGACAGGACCCGACCTGCCAAGTCCCATTTCTATCAGCTGCTTTTGCTGTTAGCTAAACTAACTCATCACAGAGTCTGGTGGATAATCAAAATCCAGAGTATTCTGCTAACTGGGAACCAGAAGAGAGTCCAAATCCCTGACTGGTGTGCAGGGTCTGCTGGTGACCTGCAGGGTGATGCTGCACAGGCCCTTCCCCTCCTCTGTGCCTCCATTCCCTGCATCAGGCTGGAAAATGCTTGGGACCCTTCACGGCTCCAAGGAGCATTATGCATTAATGTCTGAATAATGCCTCGTGATCCACAGCAAGCATGAGCAAATGCAAATGATTATTAATTAAAGTGAAAATGTAGCATGGCTTTAAATATTTGTGGAGTTTCAGAAGGACTCGCTCCAGGGAACTGCTTTAATCTGGAAAGCAAAGCAGCCAAGCTCTCAAGTATCTGAGGACAAAAACCAGAGGAGTTCTCAAAAAAATAACACAATAGTCTTCCACCAAAATGAGCCTCAATGAAGCTTTACCAACTTAGTGTCTATCTTAATGCTGTGCTGATATGAGGGTGCTAAGCTTGAGATGTTTAAGTAAAATATGAATTTCATCCTCATGGAAGTGGCAGACTACTCACTGCTCCTCTCCTCCAACTCTAGGCAGGTGACTCTCAGTCCTACATCTGGTTAATTAGGATTAGCCGCATCTTCGTTTCGAAAGTAAACAAGACATTCAGACAGCAAGTCCTTAATCGTTATCCCAGATAGACGGGTCTCCACAGGGACACTCCCTAATAACACCACCTCTCGCTCCCAAAGGAAACAGAAACAAAACCACCTCACGGGCTTCTACTTACCGGAAGGCTTTGTAGGCAGGTCGGAACCCACAGACGTAAAAAAGAGGAGAAGCCAGAGGATGGCCAACCCAAAATTGACCCCAGAGCCTCCTCCGATCCACCACGCCAGGCACGCAATTACATTCACTACCAGCGTGATGCAGTAAACTGTGAAGAGAGCAGAGGAAAGAACATGAGGTTGTGCAGTCTCACGTCTTCATGCCAGAAGGTAACAAATACCCGGTATTATAGTAGGAAGGGTCCACGCTGCAGGGGGAAACTCAAGCCCAATAACGCAGCCGCTCCGAGGAGCCACAGGTTCCTGCGTGGCCCCAGGAGCCGGCAGCACAGGCGCATCCGTCTCCAGAGGGAATGCTGCAGCACAGGGATGAGGAACCTCTTTTGGGACCTGCCAAAGGACAGAGAGCTGGGTAGTAACTGGTGCAACCAATTCAAGACCCAGGCTGGTATTATTACGAATTATGAGCGAGGTTCAATTCCCTTTTGTAGCAAAGCCCCTTTATGAGAGGAGAGCGGTGCAAAACACTGCCCTGCACCCAGCCTCCATGACTTTGGTCTCCGTGCTTGCTGAGGCTGCCTCGGGAGCTGTTACGGAGCACGCACAGCGCCTCGTGGGCTTGTTCTCTGCTTCCCCGGGCCTCTGAGGAAGCCTGGAAGTTAGCTTCAGGGCTCGTAAGTGCTGCCTTGAGCGAGGGGATAAGCAAACTCCAATCAGGCTGAGAACACAGGACCACAGGGGTGGCTTAAAGGCCCTTTCACATCCCTGTTCCTGCCACTTGGATAAAAAGGAACAGTTGACAAGGGCCCCCAGAGCTCACCAGTGCTGCACTGAGTAGACGTGCATGAAGTGACGCTGCTCCCCCCTCTCACTGAAGCTCAACATCCCGGCTAGGCAGGGCTGCACGCTTCCCAGCTTCCGCAGGCGGAGCTCAGCCCCCATGCCAGGGGCTGCCCGCTCTCCTCCACGCACTCCCCTCAATACTCCAGGGACTCTCTGCAGCTGTCCCTGCATCCCCCCCAGGCTCTGCCAGTGTTGAAGAGGCTTAGCCCAATTACAAGCTCATATTTTGGAAAACAGGTGGTAACTCTTAGAAAGCTTTGCGGTAGCCTCTATCAATTAGCACGGAGAAGGAGAAATGAGAAGGCAGAGGGTCCAAACACAAAAGACCCTTCAGTGCCTCCTGCTGATGAGCTCACAGTAACACTTTGTACCCTGGTCTCATTTATTCACTCAAAATTAAATCCCTGGCTTGCTCTTCTCCCGTGGCAAGTGAACATGCTCTGCCCATTCCTTGCTTCGCTACATGCAGTGGCTCTGCAGCATGCCTGCACGGCACTGGCTTCGTCCTCCGATGCCCGATGCCAGTCTGGCCTCTCCTCCCAATGACTTTTCCCTTTCCTCCTCTTGGCACAGACCCACCTGTCTCCACGCAGCCCGGGGCCTGCTAAACAACTACAAACCTGTGTGGTCACAAAATAACATTGACAACACAATTGGGAGAATCTGGTGTGCAAAGCATTCGAACCCAGCTGCTGCTTCTGACATATACGTTACATGAGGGTTAAAATAAAACATTGTTTTACTACAAAGAAAACGTCTTCTGAGTAGCTAACAAGGCTTTATACACAATGGCTTTGGATGTATCTTAATATTGGTGGGAAGAAAGAGTTTTAATTATTTAAATTTCATTTAAAGAGTAATCAAAAATTCAGAATTAAAAATTCCCCAAATTTTTATTTTCAGAACTCATTTATTCTCCAAAAGTCACTTAAAAAAAAATAAGCCACCAGGCCAAGAGCACCCATGAAGTTTCAAGGGACTTCTGGCTCTCCCTGTGCCAGGGAGGAGTTTGTTCTCCAGCAGTGGGAGCTCTGGTTCAGGTTTCCCCAAATCACCATCCATCTTAATACAATGCTCACATCCAATTAAAGTAAAGAGCATTCAACCTTCTAGCGACCACTTCCGTGTCTCTATTTTTAACACCAGCCTTTTCGTGTCTACTCCCTTCCCTCCGTATGTGTCTCTCTCTCCATCCCATCTCAAAAAGTCGGGGAGACCCCAAAAGAAAACGTGCTGCGGATGGAAATGTAAAACTCCTGGTGAAAATGCCAGGTCTCCTCAGCCAGGCATAGAGTCGTGCCCAGAAGTGGCTGGCACCCCTCCAGCCTGCCATTAACTGGAAAGAGGGACGCTTTGTTTAGGAAGAGTGGGAGACAAAGGCAGCTTTACAGCACCCAACGTTTAACCAGTTAGTCTGAAGGGACAAGCAGTTTCTTCAGGCAAGAAAATTACAGAGCTCATTTCAGCATCTCTAAATAACGAAAGAACAATGGAGTGATAGATTATGCCATTATTTATGCACACAAATCTCTCTCATACACACATCCTATGCATCTGGAATAAAAGCCGTGCCACCAAATGCATATCTGGCAGAAAACAAGCTTTCCTTCAGCGAGAAGGGTAAATAGGATGACAAGCATTTGGGGGAAAAAAGATAAGCAAGGCAAAAAGATTTTTAATCTTCCGAAGCGTTCCCTGTGGTTCTCTAGGCCTGCCACACCATTTTTCATCCAATTTCATTCCTTGGAGAAGAATGGTCAATTTTCATTACCGGCTTTTGAATGGCTAAGCCAGACAACACGAGCCCAGAGCCAGGAGGTCTGTTCCTACGGAATATCAGCAAACCACCAGCTGTGACCAAGAGGATCAGTGCCCTTTTCCAGCAGGACACGGAACGTTTTCTGGGCTACGGGTAGCTACGGAAGAGACAGCGTACGGCTAGAAGACACTGCTCCAGTTGGGATGGGACATCTGTGGATGGCAAAGCACGGGGGAATTTTAGCCTTCCTAAAATTTTAGCCTTCCTACAGCGAGGTGGGGAGACAGGCAGCGAGCACACGGGCCGTGTTCATTTTCTCGCCTAAAATCCTCTTACTCATCGTGGTTTAGGTGAATTGGGAATTACTTTAAGAGGGCTATTTTGGGGAGTAAAACACCACTTGACATTAATAAAGGGATCAAACGTGGTCTGCTTTTTTCCTCCTTACATTTACTAACAGACTTTCCTCGCACTGATACTCCCTCTTTTCTTCGGCTCTGCAGCAACGATTCTGCAGCTTAAAATTTGGGCACAAAGTTCCATTACAGTATTCTCAGACAAATCATTGTTTCTCATCAACTGACTGCAGTCAAAACCTGA